AGTGCCCTGCCTCGGGGAACAGGCTGGATGCCGAGCACTCTAGGGTCCTCCTCAAGGGGTGATTCCAGGCTGAGGACCCGGGGACCAGTTCAGGGTGACTGGGACGGAGCAGGAAGTGACCCCAGCTTCCCGGGCCCCTCTAGCCTGGAGTCAGAACATCAGCTCTATGGGATTTAACCCTTTGCCTCCCACAGTCTGGGAAAAGAATGGGGAGGGGGTACGGAAGCAAGGAGGTGGCCGATGACGCCCCTCTCCCCGTGTCTAGTGGGATCGCGAAAGATCCCCTTTTCGGGGAGCTCAGAGGCCGGCGAGGGTCTCCGGGTATCTGGCCGTGCTCTCTCTCCAAAGGATCTGCCAGCCGCCCAGTTAAGCTGATCTCAGATTGGGCCGCGGCGGGTCCCCTGAGAGCGGCCTTTGTTTGGACTCACCCTGGGATGGGGCTGCTAAGCCTGAGTTGGTGACTAGAAGGTGGGAGCAAGAGCTGGGTGGGCAGACCCGGTCCAGCAGTAAGAGCAGAAGCTGACTAGCCTTAATTTAAGGCCAGGCAAAACTAGCCTGTGCTCGTGGTTCCCCCCCCCCCCCGTGCCTCCACCACCCTCTGTCCCACTACCCTCTACCCTTACCGGTCCCCTCTTTACCCTCCCCCCTTCCAGTTCTATCTCCTTATAGGAGGAAACCGAGGCCCTGGGTGGCAGCAGAAACGGCAGTGTAGGTTCCCTGGCCAAAGTGGGCAAGCATTATTCTCTGCATCCCTGGGTAAGGTACCCAGTTCACAGCTGGGCAATCCTTCCAAAAACCTAGGAAGCCAGTAGTAGTTCCGAATGCCTGTCATTCTATTGCTTGGGAGGCAGAAGCAGGAGAGGCAGAAGCAGGAGAGGGAGAAGCAGGAGGATGAGCAAATTCGTAGTCTGCGTGGTCCCCATAGTTCCAGACCAGTCAGGGCTAGTGAGACCCTGGTTTCAAAACGACACAATGACCTCCCAGGTCCCAGGTAACTGGATTCCCAGATTTTTCCAGTTTGGGTCTCATTTCCCCACCACAATCCTGAGGGAGAACTCTGAATCGTCCCCGTTTTATAGACAAGGCAATCGGGACGTGAGATGTGAGAGAAAATGTGTAAGGCCACATCTGTAAGTCAGCCTAGGTGTGAGGAGAGCAGCGCCCAACAAGAGTTGAACTTTCCACCTCAGGAAGCTTTAAAAAGTCGTCAGGCTTGGCGACACACACCTGTGTCCAGCCATTAGTAGACTGAGGTAGGGAAATCAAGAACTGGAGTTCAAGGTCAGCCTGGGCCGCAGACACTAACTAAATAAAAAACTTCAAGCCCTGTGGGGATGCTGAGACAGGAGGATCACCATAATTTAAGGCCAGTCTAGGCTCCGCAGTGAGACCCCCGTGTTAAAGCACCAAGGAATAAATATTGACTTGTGATAGGTGAATAACATGTTCAAAATTCCAAGACTGCCGTTCTTACAGAATTCCCGAGAGACCCGCTTCAGCTTGTAAGCTGCTAGTTCGGGAAATGGACCCTGACTTCAGTCCTGCCCCAGAGGTGATGCCTTCCCAGAAGAGTTGAGCTGATATTAAGAAACTGCCTCTCTTGTTCTTGCAAGACAATGGGTCCTGGCAACTCACCACTAGCTTTGCTGTTTTACAAACCGCTTGCTTGCTGGAGATAACTGAGGCACCTGTGGGATGTCTGTTATAAAATTAGGCACTGCTCACACAAAGGCAGGATGTGAGCTTACGCTCTAACCCTGACCCCACCCCTCAAAAATGCTATAACTTTGTGGGTTTTCCCATATAAACTCTGAGCTAACATCAGATCTGGACTTTAGGCAGAAAATTCCGAGTCTCTGCTGTGGTCCTGGCCGGTAATTTTTATTCAAGTCTCTTATTTGTTTAAAACACAAACATCTGGGTGGTGGTGGCGCACACTTTTAATCCCAGCAGAGGCAAGCAGCTCTCTGTGAGACCAAGGCCAGCTTGGTCTACAAAGCAAGTCCCAGGGCAGGTAGGGCTGTTACACAGAGAACCTTGTCTCAAAACAAAACAAAACCCTCAACAACAACAACAAAACATAAAAGACTGATGAATATCTGAAAAAACCCAGACCCATAACAGACTGTGTTTGTGTGTGAGTGTATGTGTGAGTGCATGTGAGTGTGTACACACCCACACCCATGTGCACCACACACAAAGAAATCATAAAAAATGTGGAAAGGAGCATCAGACCAGGGTGGTAAAGGGAGAGCTGAGAATCTAACAACCCAAGTGTCAGAAATTGCAAGGGATGCAGTTCTCTGGGCAGCTAGGGTTGAGAGTGTGGCTTCAGGCTTCCCAGCGCCGGCTCCCTCCACTTTCCTTCCAGGTACTTCCCTAGCTTCCTCTGGTTCTAGTTCCCCTTAACTCCTCCCACACAATCAGACCCTTGACCACCCTGGTCCCTACCTCTTGTTCTTCACGTCCTGTGACAGGGAACTTAAACTTTGCTGTCTCTGTTTACCTGTCGTTATACATGCATGCTGATGTCAACTCTGCTTGGGCAGGGTTTCGCCTTTGTGTTTACTGCTGTGTCCCCAGAACCCACAACTGTAGCATGTGCTCAGTTTGTTGAACAAGCTGAGATAGCTGGGCCCAACCCTGGGGCAGGGAGAAACCCGAGAGCAGCTGGCTGAAGGTGCAGAGGTTAATTAGTCCAACGGAGGTTTTGTTTGTTTGCTTTCTGTTTTAGCTGCATTAATTGCTATATATAACAATCAGTACATAAAAGCCAGGTATAAACCGGGCAGTGTTGGCACACACACACCTTAATCCCAGCATTTGGGAGGCAGAGGCAGGTGGATATCCGTGAGTTCGAGGCTATCCTGGGACAGGCCCCAAAGCTACAGAGAAACCCTGTCCGGGGGGGTAGGGGAGGAGTACAGTTAGTCTCAGCCAAATCAGGAAACTGAGGCAGGATGACCACTTGAGTCTAGAAATTTGAGATCAGTTTGGGCAACACAGTGAGACAATCTCACAAGATTCACATCTGAATTCCCTGCTTCTCTGGAAAATCCAAAGCTGTAACTGAAAATGAGGACATACCTGCTCCAAATTATGGTTGAGGAGAGGGTTTACTGTAGATATGAGGGAGTGTACAGTCAGAGGCATCCGAAAGAGTCCCAGAGCAGGGAGAGAAAGAAGTAGACTAAATATGGCCGGTAGACTAAACCAGGTCATGAGAGGTGAGATGGGGGTGGAGAGCGAGAGAAAAAGAGAGAGGGAAACAAGAGATCAAACAGAGATCCAAGAGGGGAAAGAGCTTGTCGCAGCAATGACAGGGTTATATAGGAAAGAGAAGCTGCGGGAAGGGAAGCCCCTGAGCTGGAAGGTGTAGGGTAGGAGGGGGGTGAGAGTGGCAGAGAGGAGTCACAGGTGCTGAGCGAGCCTGGCGGCCACTGTGCACTTTGCTACACTACTGGGCACCGCAGCCTTTTGTCCTGGGTTTCTTTGGGACCTGACAGTAACAGTATAGTTAGCATGCTCACTTGTCATAAACTGACTGTCGTCAGGCAGAAGTGTCCTTACTTAGGTGTCCCAGCATCACTCAGGCTGAGAGACAGTTTCACTAATAAATGCCCTTCCCTGTTGATTTAACTATAGAGGTGGTTTCTTTCATCGGTGTCCCCCACATTCAGAGTAAGAAATATAAGCTGGGGGGGAGGGTGGAGAGGTGGCTCAGTTAAGAGCACTGGAAGTTATTCCAGAGGACCTGATTTCAATGCCCAGTAACTACATGGCAGCTTAAACTGCCTGTAACTCCACCTCCAGGGGATCTGACACCCTCGCAGAACACCAATGCACATAAAGTAAAAATCAATAAATTATTAAAAAAAAGAGAAATACAAAGGATATGAGCTGGTGTGCTCCGACACGTTCTATTTTATTTATTTCGACTTTTGAAATAGGATCTCATCATGTCGCTCTGGCTGGCCTTGAACTATGTAGACCAGACTGGCCTCGAAATCACAGAGACCCACCTGCCTCTGCCTCCCCGTGCTGGAACTGGGAGCGTACGCCATTACACCTGGCCTCAGTTACATTTGTTAAGTACTTACTGCGTGTTGGCACAGTGAACAAATGCTTGGACCTCCCCAACACAGGATTCCAACCTTCTTATCATCCTGATGGCAAAGTCACCAGCACACACTGCAGAGTTAGACTGGAACCCAGTGCCACTGTGGCCCTTAGCCATCACTCTTGGGTCTGAACTAACAGAGACCTAACGGTCCCTCCCCTCTCCTTCTCTTGATCCAGAAGCCAGAACAAGGCACTGAAGAGGGCAGGAAAACTCCATCAGGCCCAACCTTTCTCCAGGGGTAGTGGGGAAGGAGTGGCGCAGGGGATGCACTGACCATACACATGGGATGTCTTCTTGCCTGTGGGCAGCTGGTATGGTATCCATGTGACTGACCCTGGCTGGGGAACTATGGGAAGGATGACGGTGACCCATCCCCAGGCCTTTTACGAACAAACCACGAGCCATGTTTCAGAAATGCTCTTCCATCCTCCCACAGGGCCCTACATGCTGACAGTCATACCCCAAATGCAA